AGGAAGGAAGGAAGGAAGGAAGGAAGGAAGGAAGGAAGGAAGGAAGGAAGGAAGGAAGGAAGGAAGGAAGGAAGGAAGGGCATGCAGGCTGGCTAGGCCAACAGATCAACAAACTTCCAGGTTGGCATGGACTTAGAAAAGTTGGTCAGACATCGAGGGCCAAAGTCTCCTGGTCCCTGGAAATCTCTCCTAAGCCAGGGTTTGAGTAAGTAGCAAACTCAGCTTCTGGCCTACATCCCAGGAGACCTTAGGCACAAAAACAGACTGTATGGCTAGGCCGCTTCAACTTCTCGTTTTGCTCTGAAAACGCCAATAATCCATCAGCAGTTTCTCAGACCTCATATCTTGCTGGCTGGACTCATAAAACACAGAGCCCTGTACCTTTGAGAGTTTCTTGAGTATTCTTAGGACTTTCATTTTGACTTTGAGGCAGACAGAAAGATGGAAGGCCTGAAGCCCAGCAGATTATGTGACCAGCACGTGGTGAGGATAAAAGAATCAGGGAGGGAGGTGCAGGGACCAATCCCCTGGGTCCAAGATCCAGAGTCTGCCGTGTGTGTGGACTGAGGGTGACTCAGAATGTTCATCTCACATGTGGTTACCTGCTACTTCCTGACCTCATCTAGCCTTGGGCAAGCCTGGGAGCTCAGGTACTTTGTCCCATCTATTGTCCCAACAGATCCCAAAGACAAGAACTGCTACCAAAAGAGATTGTCTTGGAAAAGGTGACATTCTATGCAGGAGTTGTAGCTTAGAAGACATGCTGGGTGGCAAAACCCAGAATTGGGGTAGTGATGACCATGAGATAGACACCAGATCCTCCACTTGGCATTCCAGACCCTCCATAACCTGGCTCAGCTGACCTTGGCTGGCCATTCTCATCCTTCCCACCCCGGACCTGACAGATGGAATCGTATTTGTTATGTCTAGAATATACATAGTATTTTATATATGATGCTCCCTGAGGAAGCATCTCTCTTCCCTTCTTCCAAACATTTATCCTGTCAGGACAGCCCATGGGGCACTAGCTCCAAGATGTCCCCCTGGAGCCCTTGGTGCAGTCCCAGTACCCAGTACCATGCCCACATTCCATACTTGGGGGTGTCTAGATAGGAGTTTGCTCCCTGTTGGGAATGCCAACCACTTAATGGGGTGGGGTCATGTGTCAGTTTCTCTGTGTCCTCCGTAGGTGATGCTCCGTAGATGCACTAAGAGGGACAAGGGAGGAAGAGAAGTTTGGAGCTAGGAAAGAGGAAAGACAGCCTTGGCTCTCTTTCTGAGACAACCTCCACCTCCCACCCGGTAAAGGACCGCACCTGAGGGCAGAGTTCTCTGGCTGGAGGGAAGAGCATGGTATACAAGGCCCCAAGACCCGCCGGCTAAAGGTGTGGTAGCCAGCTGGAAGTCTTGGCAAAGGACTGCTGTAAATGACATGGAGGTGCCCCCTTGGCTCAGTAAGACTCAACTTCTTTAAATGTTGTTACGTTTCCAAAAATTCATCTAAGCAGCCAAAAATATCACCCTGGCTGGCTGTCTAAGCCGGTAAATTCAGGCCTCAGTCAAGCCTCCCTACACCCCCTCCCCCATTCGTCCACAGCCCAGCCAGACTTGCCATGAACTGGCAGAAATGCCTGCAGCCCTTGGGCAGGGGATCTCTTGGGGAGGAGAGGTCTGGGTTGAAACCCTGCCCCATGGCTCCAGCCCAGAGCACTTCTGTCTGTGCCCAAACCTAGGGAAGGGAAGAGAGGGCTTAGAAGGACCCCTGGCCCCCTTCCTGGCCCTTTCCAGGGAATGTCAGCCCCTCACAGCCTGTCTCCAAAGGCAGACTGGGATCTTCCCCTCGGGAGGTGGGCCACGTCTTCCCTTTGCTTGCTGACCTTGGGTAAGCCCCTGCCCCTCTTTGAGCCTCCATTTCCTTATGGACCATAGGAAGAGTTTCCTGGGGCCAGGAGGAAGTTCTGTATATGATCTTGGGTCTCCTTGAAGGTGAGGTTCTACCCTTCCCTAGCCCACCTTTCCATGTAGGCCCCGCAGACTGCCATGATGGGAGCATGTGACAGACAAGAAAGCATTACTTAAAGGCTCCCTCCATCCTCAGACCTGCCCTGAGGAATGTAGTTCTGAATGGGATCCAAGTCTACGGTGCCTAGTGTGCAAGACCAGGGACTCTTAGACAGGAGTCTCTCTGGTTGCCAGGCTGGGTGGGTGGAGCTCTTGGCTCTCAGTGGGGAGGCTGGCCTTAACCTTCGTCCAGCTCAGAGTGTCAGATTTGTTGGCTATCCCATTGTGCCTCACTGTACCAAGCTGGCTTCAGCTCTCACCATATTTGTGGTGTTCTTTATCACCTCTTCCCTCACCCCTGTGAATTGTCATGAAGAGTTCTTTAAGAGTATAATAGAAGACAAAGAAAGATGCTATTAATGTTATTTTGCCAAAAATATTTTTGTAGCATAATATATTAATAAAAGATATTATGAACTTGACCCTGGTGTTTCCATGTGCTGAATTTACACCCCCCTTCTCTTGCAGGGAATTTTTGGGGAATTGCCTGGCTTGTGAGGGCCAGGGCCTGTATCATTGTGGCATAGATAATGGGAAGGACTTCATTTTCTTTGCATAGATTTGGTTGTGGGCTGAAAAGGTGACTAAAGCAGGGACCTTGTAGGTGCATGGCCAACCACCCGGAGGTATGTATGACCCTTGCCAGGCAGAGGGAGCTGCCCATGTTTGGAGTAAGTGTTGTA